TATTAAAAAATTCTAAAAAAATTTTCAAATCTTTATGACAAAAAAATAAACAATTTTTATCTCATGTCGTTTTTCTGTATAATTGATAGTATTTAAGTAAAAAATAATAGAAAACCAATATTTAGCGATTTTTAGTAATTAATATCTTGTTAACTATTGCAAAAGTTATAAAATGGTACAAGACTTTTTGACTCAGTTTAGTCCGTTTTATTTACACAGCTCTTTGTCAAAACGTACCGAACACCTCGTATGTGAAACATTTTTTCCCGGGAAGTTAAAATGAATAGATGTACTTATTATATCTTGAAGATATATTACAGTCTTAAACTAAACAGGAATATTAATTCTGCTAAAATATTCATTTTTAATAATTTCTTCAAGTTTTTTTATTTATATGAAAATATCTTTATATACTTTTCATGACATTAGTTTTTTTGACAGATCGATTGGAACAATGCAATAATAAAAACTGTTTATAATAAAATTTCTTTAAAATTATTATGTATCAATTTGTGATAGACTCTTATAATATATTAATAAATACATACAGATTTTGCAAAGACGATTCCGATGAGGGTCAATAACAGAAGAACGTAGAATGCCTTCATGGTTATAATACGTCAAATTCAATGTGTTTTATACTTATAGTCTGAAAATTCTAAGTTTCTCTCTGCGAAGTGATATTCCTTCTCTTTAAGTAAAATCAATTGGCGATTGAAATATTTTGTTGTGCCTTTGACTTATTATAAACTCCTTTATAAAGAAATGCTATATCTTATCATTCTTTAAAATTGTGCGAACATTATAGTATAAAATTACTGTTGCTTTTAAAAGCAGTCATTTTCGTTATCTCGCGAGTGGATATTATATTGTATATTAACATATATGTCATTGAAAGATTATATAAGATAACGATACCAATTATAGGTCATGTTCTAATTATAGGTCAAACTTGCAAAATTACAATGTTTTACAAATATACGTGTAATAATAAGTTACTAAAATTTTTCATATTTTTTTATTTTTTTGTAATTATTGTAATATGAAATTACTTTCTCAATCATTAATATTTATGAAAAAAAGCGGAAAGTTATTTCAATTCTTTAATAATTTTTTAAAATTATAATGCTCTTTAACAGTAGATTGTATTTAATATACTATAACATTGTATAAATTGAAACAATGAAATTTAATATTATTTATTACTGTGTGTGTTGTGTGTATGATATAAATATCTAATTTTATATTAAAGAAACTTTACTTAATAAACGGTAAACTTTTAATAAACAATAAACATTGACCTGAATCTTACTATATAATTCGGAACAATGACTTTAACAACATATGTATGCCAAAGTCAAGATCATTGGAAGGTGCTTCGTAATAAAATTTTCATCAGAACATCACGAGTAATATTAATATCATTAGGATTCAGAAACGTTACTCGAGTGTCTCCATGTATCTCTTCATCTTTGTTGTTTATCTAATATTAAACAAGGATAATACACCGAGTCACCAGAGTAATGCAATCCCTGATAATTGAAGAAAGACTGATTTACGTTTACATGTTATACAATTTCATTCAAAAGAAAATAAGAAAATTATTGTATAGCAAAGATGTTTCTCTTAAAAGTAATATAAATACATATGAAATTACATAGCATACATACATGCGAAAACGTTTTTTTTATAAAAAAACATTTGTGTAGATGTGTGCTATGTATTTTTTAAAATTTATTAATGTATAACTTTTAATTAATTAATAACATTAATCTTCATTTTATATTCGGCTAAAAGTTGTAAATAAATTCCAGCACTAATCCAAAATATTAATAAAAATTTTTATTAATTTTTAACAGAATTTAGTATTCGATTGTATCATCGTGTAAATTCTCTCTCTGTGGCATTACTACGGAACCACCAATGCTGAATTCGTCCGATAGAAACACTCGGGAGTGCCGTGTCATATTTAATGAAGAACTTTTTATTCTGTCATAATTATTTATCATATCAATTGGAACTATGGAGTTAAAAAACGGGTATAATTCTTCTTTTAAAAATTTGATTTCTTTTGTTCGTTGATTAAAATGAAAAAATTCGTCTTGATCGCTGAATTCTTCATAATTGGAGAACTTTCATTTTTTTAGTATTTCCCTAGTTTTATGTATACGTTTCTTTTCAAGAATAGGGGTCCAGCACTAGCTTCAGTACTAGCAGTGAATATAAACGCAATCATAATTAATCATGTATAATTACGGTCTACTTGATGCTATAAATATTTTGAAGCATTCTCTGATTGATCAATTAGTAAATTTCTTTCTTCTGGTTGGTCAATCAAATGTTTCGAAACATTTGTAGTGCAAAGTGGACAGCACATTAAAATAGAGACGTTCTTAAAATTTTGTAAAATAATAAGCATAAAAAATAACCGTTTTTTTATGAATTAGAATAAGTCGAAACGTATTTAATTGTAACTGTACACTTAAATGATAAATTATTATATATTAGTTAATATATATCTATTATTTAGGTCTTGTGTCTTAAGACACTTCTGTTTAATATTTTGTCATTGTTATTAAAATCAACAAAAATATTTTATTTTATTAGTTTAGTTGAAATAACTGTGTAAAGAAATACTGTATATATGTAATAGCAAATGTCAATCAGATCATTTTTAATAAAAAATAATAAGAATCAACCTATTATTTTTTAAAGTCAGATTTTTTCCAATATATTAACAGAATTAACTAATTTTACATATTTATTTTATCCAAGTTTAAACAATTTATTGGCTATCCGAACAAATCAATTCAAATTAGATAAAAGAGCATTAAAGATAAAAGTCAATTCGCAAGATGTATGTACATGCAAGTGTAGGTATATTAAATAATTTCTTCGTGAATATACATATAGGTACAAAACAAATTAACGCAAACGTTTCGACCTTATATTAGGTCATCTTCAGTGCTTATATAAATTTTCAAAAATTATGTGATAGCGCTGGTATATTCTCGATGTAAAAATTAATAATCAAGTTAGTTTGTAAAAATGTTCCATTATCGTTTTAATCCTATCAAAATTGGAATAAAATTGCGTTAATTTGTTTTGTATCTATATGTATATTCACAAAGAAATTATTTAATATATACTTGCACGTACATCTTGCGAATTAGCTTTTATGCTCCTCTATCTAATTTGAATTGACTTATTCAATTTTTAAATAAAATGTTTATATACATAATATATGTATATAAAATCTATGTTTCTTATACGTTGAATAAATGTAGAATAAATATTGTTCCCATAAAAAATTTTTCTCTTATATAATCATGTATGTATAACTGTATAAAATTATATAAAACATATATAATTATGTATTATATAATATACGTATTGACTAAATATGTCACAGTTTTATACATTAATATTCAATGTTCGTGGATCATCAAAGTAGCAGGTTTTCGTATAATTGCATAGGATGCAGCATTGGATATGATACAGCTTTAGGATGAGTAAAATGTTTCTTTTTTAATCATAATTTTATCGTGGGTATTCTGGAATAAGATGCTAATCAGTAATACTTCTTCTAGTAATAAAACTGGATTAATCAATGTATAAAAATTTTTTTACTCTCTCTCTCTCTCTCTCTCTCTTTCTCTAGTGAATTAGTAAATTCTACATTGTATATATACGTTGAATCAATGTTAAATTAATGTTCAATCGCAACGTCTGTAAGATATAGACTCAACGAACATTGAACGTTTCTGCAACGTATTTTCAACGTTGACTCTATACTTTTGTGATGTTGGTACAACATTTGCAATGTTGCAATTCAACGTTTTCTGAGATATTGATTCAACATTATTGTGTTGTATCGGATATATTCGTATTTTTGTATTTATGAATATATTATGTCACGATGTAATTTATTTTAATTGCACGTTTACACACCATCTTTTTTATAAGCGCCGTATAAATTAAACTATACTGTAATTGATTGACCATAGATAAAAAATGAGTCACGTTCGGAAATTTTCTGTAACTGTTAGTAGGAGTTACTGCAATGAGTCATGTTTGCTTACGTTAATTTTTACAGAAATTATTCACAAACGTATTTGAAATAATATACATATAACCAAGGTTATGTTACCCGCAATTTTCTGATAACGCAAACGATATCGCTGATCATTTATGCGTAAACTGTTTATGCATATAATAACGTCTTAAATACGATATCATTGTACTGTCCGACTTAAACACAACCATGCAAATTGGTGTTTGTATTGTATATACCTGTTCTCTTAAAAATTATTTTATGGTATTTTAAGTGTAACCGGGCTGAAATGTGGAAAAGAAATTAATGAAATAATTTGTTTTGACTCGCTAATGTCTGCGATTATATATATATATATTTTTTTTTACTAGAGGTGTACTATAATTTAAACATAATTTATTTTAGCTTATTATCTATGTGTGTGTAGCATAAAAAAGATGTATTTAAGTGTTCAAATTGTATATTTACATTAATATTTACGACAACTTACGATGTATTGCATTCAAGTATCTTATTTTTTTGCGCGCTTCTGCCATTATTTTTTCTGATACTTATTTAAGATTAATGTTATTTTTAATAATTATGCAACTCAAGTCAATTTATTAAAAATATGGAAATTATTATATTTAATACCTATGATAAACATAATTTAATTAATGCTAACTCATTTCAGTGAAAGCAAGTAATGAGCAATGTTTTCAATAGAGTGGTCTAATATTTCCCTACTTCTTTTTCAAAATTTCGTTTTTTCCCTCAGCTTATCTTGAAATTTATTCGTATTTTTCCCCTTAAAAAAAGTTGTGTTATCCTATATTTTACAGCTGTTTGAACGATCTAGGTTATTGTAACTATATAAAAACTTTAATCGCATTTTTCCCGATACATGCTTGGTAAACTTATAAGCTTCCTCCTCATCGATTTTTTTAAAACTTGGTTTTTTTATGTAATCGCAGAAAACGAATTTGAAAAATGTTTTGGCGGTCAAACATATTTAGGCTGTCATGTTGAAAATTATATGAAAACAATGTTTTTGACCAATATTTTCTAAAATATTGATTGTATAAAAAAACAAACAAAGTTCGTGATATTGTCTACAAAAAAGGTATACACTACAATAAATATATATTGGCGATACTTTATCGTCATATTTAAAAAACTGATGGTAAATTTTCCGATCAAGGAATCCCTCTACCCCGATGACTTTGACTTTAACATATGTTATTAAAATCATGATCCCGAGTGATTTCCAACAAATTTTAGCTGTTTTTGGTTGTTTGTTAAAAAGTTATTAATAAAAAAAGGTTCACTGCTTTATAGGATGTCTATACGAGTAATTGTACTATTCCACATGGGTTTTCGAATTCCACGCAAAACAAGGTCCACCCCATACTCCCGACAGCTTCGAAATTAGGTAAGGGTTTGGGTTTAACCTAATCCAACCCTTATTGGCTAATCTGTAAGTTTTTCGCATTCTAATTAAGGGAGCGTTTATATTGGCTATAACCGTATGCCGTATGCCGTAATCTGTAAAAACTGACCAATCACCTTCGAGTATTCCCTTTTTATCATCGAATGAGAGGGGAATACTTGACTGTAATTAATCAATTCTTATAGATTATATGGCATACAGAATACGGTTACGGCCAATATAAACGCTCCCTAACAGG